CATTGCTTCATACAAAAAAGCTCGTAGAGAGGAATCATCTAACCTTCCTGGATGAAGTGCAAGAGTAGCATTTAATACAGATCTTATTGTTCTAATTTGACGTTCCCATACGCCACCAGCATGACTTGCATGTGGTGCATTCATGATGAAGTCGCACTGCTTCTCTGATAGGAAGGTTGTCACTCTCTCCACATCCATTTCCTTAAGTGCATCTTTCAACTCATTTTTTGCTCCGATAAAGTTGCTTCCTTGATCGGACCTTATCTGTTGCACCGTGCCAATAAAACCAATAAAACAACGCAGAGCATTGATGAAAGAATCTGCTGTCATATCAGTAAGCATCTCTACACGGGAACTGCGGGAACTGAAACAAGTAAATAGAAGACCATACTGTTTATGAACACTTCTGCCCTGCTTGATAAAAAAGGGGCCAAAGCAATCCATGCCAGTATATGTAAACGGAGGCGATGGAGCCACTCTCTCTGGGGGAAAATCAGCCATTCTCTGTTCTTCAACAGGTCGTCTGTGCTTTCTGCAAACAATACAACTTCTAATATAAGATGTCACAATTCTGTTGATTCCTGGGATCCAAAAGCCATTAGATCTTATCTCATTTATAGTGAATCCTTTCCCTTGGTGTGCAACTTTGTTGTGAAAGTGAGCAACAATCAATTCAGTAATCTGATGATTCTTTGGAATTATTATAGGATGTTTCACAGAGTCTGGAAAGATTGAACGGCAGAGTCTACCTCCCACCCCGAGTACACCGTCCTTATCCATGAAAGGGTCAAGAGAGTACAATGTACTGCGAGACAAAACACTTCTACCACTTTTTATCTCTCTTAGCTCATCTTTATATGAACTGCCTTGCAGACATTATTAAAAGAACCAAAGACTTAAACTACTTCAGTCTGTGTGCATTTGAATTTAATACACTAGTTTCACAATTTGAGTTGAATTACTGAAATAAATGAACTTTTCCACGACATTCTAATTTATTGAGATGCACCTGTATAGGGTGAATTCAAAATATGGTCCAATTTTGCTGAATTCACCCATATTTGCAGAGCACCTGGACAGTGCACTGATTGACTAAAACATTTTAATCATGTTCTCCTATTTGCACATAGCAAAACAATCGCAAAGTTGAAATCAGGATATGGCAACCTTCATAAACAAGCAGTTTTGGCACCACCCCGATGGCCATTCAGAGAAAGTTCATCCATAACTTTCACAGGCACAGAGGGCAGAAGAAAATAAATGCTGGATAAAGACAGAAAACCTACTTGACCATATATTACACAACTGCAAGCTTAAGTGTAAACTCAAATCACAATGTTGCTTCCGCTTCCAACATAATAATAAATGAAATGCTAAAAAGTAAACTTGGCTAAATAAGGAAAGACTTAAACCCCTACATTGCCATTAATTGACAGAATATCTTGAAAAGTAGGGTGAAAGGAAAAAAGCAGTGATTAATAACATCATTAGTAGTTTACTTTAGAGATTGTTCCAGATCTTCAGGGAGCAGTCTAGTATTATTTCACAAAGCATATTAGAAATACACTGGCTGACCGGCACGGCAATATGCAAATAAAGCAAATGAAAAGAATGGCTTGCCTGTAGATTTTGGTCTTCATTGCAAACAGATTTGTGCCTAATGAGGAGCAGATTATGGCATGATTCTTGTGTAAATTAAACAGCAGGCGTTAAGGGCTGCGGGAGGCACAAACTAATGTATTTTGTATGTTTTACTAGATGTTTTTTAATGTGTATCAGCAGTACTGCACTTAAAGGAATAGTTCACACACAAAAACAAAGTAAATAAAAATAAATAAATGAAAAATAGCTGAAAATTTACTCAATCCTCAGGCCATCCAAGATGAAGATCAGATTGTTTCTTCAGATTTGGAGAAATTTTGCATTATATGACTTGCTCATTACTGGATCCTCTGCAGTGAATGGGTGCCGTTAGAATGAGAGTTCAAAAAGCTGATAAAATCATCACAATAATCCACACGACTCCAGTCCATCAGTCAACATCTTGTGAAGTAAAAAGCTGTGTGCTTGTAATAAACAAAACCATCAAGGCATTTTAACTTTAAACTGATGCTTCTGGCCAAAATATCCTACTGAAATAAATGAACTTTTCCACGACATTCTAATTTATTGAGATGCACCTGTATAGGGTGAATTCAAAATATGGTCCAATTTTGCTGAATTCACCCATATTTGCAGAGCACCTGGACAGTGCACTGATTGACTAAAACATTTTAATCATGTTCTCCTATTTGCACATAGCAAAACAATCGCAAAGTTGAAATCAGGATATGGCAACCTTCATAAACAAGCAGTTTTGGCACCACCCCGATGGCCATTCAGAGAAAGTTCATCATAAAAATAAATAAATGAAAAATAGCTGAAAATTTACTCAATCCTCAGGCCATCCAAGATGAAGATCAGATTGTTTCTTCAGATTTGGAGAAATTTTGCATTATATGACTTGCTCATTACTGGATCCTCTGCAGTGAATGGGTGCCGTTAGAATGAGAGTTCAAAAAGCTGATAAAATCATCACAATAATCCACACGACTCCAGTCCATCAGTCAACATCTTGTGAAGTAAAAAGCTGTGTGCTTGTAATAAACAAAACCATCAAGGCATTTTAACTTTAAACTGATGCTTCTGGCCAAAATATCCATGACTCCATAATTCACAACGATGATTTCTCTCCTCTTGTCCTCTCACATCAAAATCCACCAACATATTTGTTCAGAACTGTTTTGGACCGTTTTCACTTGTAAACGGTGCTTGATCGGAGCATATTTCTTTCCTGGTTCAGACAAGATTACTTTTTCACTGGAGAAAGAGACATTAGAAATGATAAATAATAGATAAAGGACTAATTTTTAGAGAAAAAAAAAAAAAACTCTAAAAGATGATTTTGTTTATTACAAACATTTCAATTACTTTTCAATTACTGTAACAAGACATTAACTTATGGACTGGAATCGTGTAGATTACTTGTGGATTATTGTGATGTTTGAACTCTCATTCTGACGGCACCCATTCACTGCAGAGGATCCTTTGGTGAGCAAGTGATATAATGCTGAATTTCTTCAAATCTGTTGTGATAAAGAAACAAACTCATCTTGGAAAGCCTGAGGGTGAGAACATTTTCAGCAAATTTTCATTTTTGGGTGAACTATTTCTTTATAATGCAATGGGAAAACTAAATGTTTTCACAAATGACCCACAGATCAGAGATCAGTCCAAAAATACTGAAGGTTTCTCTGAAAGTACTAATAAAATGCTTGAAAAGGCAGAAAATAGGCTACATCTGTACTGACATGTAACTTCTACACAACACTGTTATTGTTAAAAAAGCTGAAAGAGAAGAAAAGTGGCCGCGTGTGTGCTGTGCCGTACAGCGTCTCTGAAACAATCTATTGTTACACAAGAACTTGATGGATAATTCAGTGGTTTCTATAAATGCGGTTCCAATTAGTGATAATTGCCCCTTAATAGGATACAGCTGAAGGCATGGTTTTGATTTGTTTCCTTCACTTCAAAACAAAGATGTTATTAATAAATATTTGGTGTGAATTTCCCGTGGGCAATTTTGAGTATTGTTGTACTTGTACATGACAGGAGATGAATAGATCAGGTGTAACTGAAATGCTTTTCACATTAACGAATGAACTCCAGTTCTGGATAAATAACCAAAAATCTCATGCCCCTTACTTCTCTCTCTTTTTTTTTTTTTTTTTGAAACCATACACACTACCCACCCTGTTTTATAAAGAGAAATTACACATCATTATAGCCTAATGTATTGAAGCATAACACACTTCCAAAACTTCCACTCTTGTATACTCTCGTAATACTCATATTTTTAAGCAAACTTTCATTACTATTATTACAATAATACGTGAACAATATTAAAATAAATGAATGAGTCCCTTTTATAATATGTGTAATTGTTTGCAGCATCATAGCCAGCACACAACAGGCATTATTTAACATTTTAAACATGAGACCTTGTATCCACCTCTTGGACCCTGTTGCCACCTTGTGGACAAAAGCTACATAACAGGTACATACAGGACGTCCCACTCCTCACCAAGGCTGCATGTATTTGATCAAAATGCAGCAAAAACAGTAATATTGTGAAATATTAATACAGTTTTAAAATGATCGTTTTCTATTTGAATATGTTTTAAAAATGTAATTTGTTCTTGTGCTGGCAAAGCTGTATTTCAGCAGCCATTACTCCAGTCTTCAGTGTCACATAATCTTTCTAATATGCTGGTTTGGTGGTCAAACAAGATTTATTATCAGTTTTTTTAATCAATTATTATTTATTATCAATGTTGAAAAGAGTTGTGCTGTGTAATATTTTTGTGGAAAGGGTTTTAAATTTTATGAAGAATGGAAAGAGCAAACGAACATTTGGAAGAGAAATCTTTACTGTCACGTTTGACCAATTTAATGATTCCCTGCTGAATAAAAGTTTCTTTAAAAATAGTTTTAATTAAAACACTGTCATTTTAAAAACTTTTATTTAAAATTTGTTTTGAACAAGACATCAAAAAAATAAAATGCAATTGTATTTTACAAACAATGCTTTTTGTTGATTGATTCCACTACAGTTTACTATTTAATTAATTCCAGTTACATTTGAGAGTCAGCCTTTATGGTTTATTTTTAGTGTTAAAAGTCTTGAGCATCACATGGTCACTGGATCAGCTGACCAGATGTTGAAACTACTCACACTGACACTGCATTCCTGCTAATCAGTAACTAGTTACAAAGACAGGTTACAATGTATCACATCTAGATACAGAAATGTCTGTTCATAAAGAACATTTATTCTGTTCACTTGTATGAACAGAAAACATGTCAGACACAAATGTCTTACATATGAAAACATAATTATGCATCTAAAAGGAAAAATGCTCATCGTTGACACTCTGGTCCCTAACAGTGATAACCTATGTATCTCAGAGCTGAAAATATGCCTCGAAATGACAAAACATGGCTTTAAAATAGCAATTCTTCCCTTTTCATGAATTCCCTTATGAAACAGTTAAGATGGATTCATTAATATAATCTAAAATGCTGCATCCATCATAACATGTGCATCTTGCATTAACTTCATGATAACGTCAATAGTTTTGCAGAGTCCTTAAATAAATTCCCTTATTTTTATGGATTTGATTTAAAAAAACTGAACTAAATTTATAATCAAATAAAAACAAACAGCAAATGATAAACATAAAAAAATGTGCATAAGAAAAATAGTCCCTTCAGAAAAAAAGTGTCTGTCTATGGTGGTTTATGTGAGAACTATGAAGTGAGAAGCCACAATAAAACACATGAGTGTTATCAACTAATCAGGTCTAAAAATTCACATCTTTGGGTCTCAGTGAAATTCTCTCGTGTGTCAAGATGTGGCCGCCCTATAGCAAATACTGGCCTGTGTGAAAGATAATTCTGAACCAAAACCTGATTTGAATTCTAACCTTCACCACTGTGATGTAAGTGTCAACCAAAAGCTCTCTGCATCAGAAGGGACGAATCTCTGCAGCTGCTGCGTGTTCAGTCGACTGACGGCTGCTCAGAGCTCTCGGAGTCCTCTCTATCACTCCCCATAAGGCCAGTCACCTCAGGCAGATCTGCAAGACAATACAAACATTAGATATTACATGTACAAATTCATGTGCAGTATACCATCGTTCAAAGGTTTGGGGTCAGTATGAAATTTTTTCTTATTCAGCAAGGGCACATTAAATTGATAGTAAAGATATTTATATTGTTACAAAAGATTTCTATTTTTTTTTTTTTAAATGCTGCTGTTTTGAGTTTTCTATTCATCAATGAATATTGAAAAAAATACAATTACAATGTACAACTACTAAGTAGTACAATTGTTTACAGCACTGATGATAATAATAAGAAACATTTCTTGAGCAGCAAATCAGCGTATTAGAATGATTTCTGAAGGATCACGTGACACTGAAGACTGAAGTAATGACTGCCGAAAATTCAGCTTTGTCATCACAGGAATAAATTACATTTTAACATATTAAAATAGAAAACAGTCAACTGTAATATTTCACAATAAATATGACTGACCCTAAACTTTTGAATGGTAGTTTAAAATTTAGTTTAAACCTATGGAATCAACCTTTTATTATCTGAAAAAAATAAATAAGCCACTTTTAAAGGGGTCATATTTTTTTATTATGAACAATTCACATAATATAACAATGTCATAATTTAGTTTATCATGACCATTTTCCACCTTCTTCACCTTCAAAAGCACAAGGTTTGGCAAACTTCCCCACATTTTATCATTAGTTCTTCTGGGGTTTTTAACAGATGTGCTTAGAATAACTGCATCAAAGTATTTAGAATAAAATGTTTAGAATAAATCCGGTTTATATGAATTTACCATAATGCAGCCTGAAATTTTTTACAATCCATCATCTCAAAACATTAAGGAAAATTTGCCTCATGATTTTGACCCCTTTAAATTAAAGGTGGATGATTGAGGTTTCTGATTGGTTTTATGTGGAGAAAATCATTTAGTTCAGATTTCTGATTGTAATTTCAGATGCTGACATGTGGCCCTCACCCTTAAAGGGGTCATATGATGCGATTTCAAGTTTTCCTTTCTCTTTGGAGTGTTACAAGCTGATTG